TATCAAACATTGCTTTTACGACTTCGAGGTGCTTGTCAGGCTGTGTACAACCGAAATCCATTAGGGTTTAGCACAAGATAATAAACCTGTACCCCTATTTTCAGACTATTCTTTCGACCACAAGCTCCGCGCCCATTCATATGGATTCTCGTGGCTGGCACGTTTGAATGTTTGGGTTTGAATGAATAAAATTGATTTAACCAATAAAAATGCAGTCATAGTTAATTTCCGTTCGATTTCTGTTAATTATTTTATGAGAACATAAGAGCAATGTTTCACTAATCATATTTGCTGAAAAGTACTATTTTTTTAAATATTAAACTAAGTGTTTGTTTATTTTGTATCTAAAAATAGCCTTTGTGGTCGTCACACCTTTAAAACATGAATATTTTTACAATTTGTTTAATGACCAAATGAAAAACTTAGCCAACTAGCTCCGTGACATTGTCATTGAACGAAATATATCCTCGAGAAAATTGTAGGCTCGTAACTGAGTAATTAAAACGCATTAGCACTAAGTTTATGACCCATTAAGAATTGTAATTGGAAAATGAAAACTTCAAAATAACATGAGACAGTGGGAATTCCCTGCAAAGCAACTCGAATACATCGCCAGAATTCTTGAAAAACGCATAGGGCATTGCCCAGTCGAGCCGCGAAGGCGGGAAGCTTTTCAACTGCCAAAAAATATAAGAATAAGCCATGCAAAACATTGATAAGCCATAAAACGAATTGGAGTCGCTGAGCCGCAGAAATTAGCAAATTAATCACGTGTCCGAGACTTTTTCTGCTCGCCCACGCCCGAAATTTTGTCAGTAGCATTTATATATATAATTTTTTTTTTCAATTTTTGATTTTCTATTTTGGCGCTACGGGCCGGTGGCAAAAGTATTTCCGTACACTCCACAGAATCTCGTCCCGGCCCGAAGGGAAGTTGGCTAAGAAGTCGTCACCAAGTGCTCCGCTCGGTGTGGCTTGAATTGGCCTGACTTGGCTTGGCTTCATTTGGCTCTTTTCATTAACAACTCGATCATGATCAGCATCGGTAAGGCCGAGGAGCCTGCTTAGAATTCTGGGGGAGATCGGAAACCTGCTTGGCGTTTTAAAATGCCTTCGGCCCGTCCGCAGATTTATATATTTTGGGGTTTCTATTCTCGACTTCTCGCCGAGTGTAAGTGGATTTGCATAAATATGCATGTGTTTTCCAGCGATCACTGGTTGCCAACCCACTCCACTTCGTTCCCGAACCCAGCCAAGCTTTGGTTGTCCGTTTGGCCCTTATTTATTTTTCGTCTGGTGAAACCAGTCGGGCAGCTCCATAAACCGGGGGCAGCTCATTTAACACCCCTTCTGGCCAACGATATCAGTCAAGGCGAAGTTAAACTAGTGCCTAGATATATGCGTCATAAACTTATCAAGAACTTTGGCTGTGTGAGACAGAGATCCGATTTTCTGATTAGGCAGATAATTTTAGATTTGAAGACCCAGGAAATAAGAAATAGGACAAGATCTGCGGAGCTGTGGGGGGTATTTAAGTCTATAATGAAAATGAATTCGTTTAAGAAATTGAATTTTAAAATTAAGTAATCATAAATAATTATTATCAATATTTTATTACTAATTTATTATCTGTTGATCATTGTAGAATTTCCCCCTTTAATGTGTAATAATAATGCCTTACAAACTAGGTACATTTTTCTCCCAGTTTATTATTATTATTTAATCAAAATTCAGGGTTAAGAACCACCACGCTTATAAGCTATGAAATCGGACCCAGCTAGTTAGCGGAATCTCTTTGGGTAAATAGCCATTTATTTATCTTAAATCGAATTATAGGAAATTCTTTATATCTGGCGGCAGAACAAGTTTCGGACAACACGAGACCACTGCCACCTGTGAGCTCACAGTGTATAAATATAAACGCTGGAATCTGAACAAGAATGAATTATGCCCCCTTCCCGATCCCCATTTACATTTAACCTCGTGACCTTTTGGCGCAAAGTTGACAGGGTTCCAAGGCTCTTCTCTTATTTGATCAGATCGACTCCTCCGATCAAATGGTGTTCTTCATGGTATTCTGGTTCCCCCGCCTCATTACACATTACGGCCGGTGGAGTTGGCCCAGACCAGACAGACTTCCGCTTCGGACTCTTCCGCATAGATGTAACAGTAAACAAGTTGGGCCCGGACCTCCGGCGGTCCGATCAGCTCGGTCCGACCCCCAGTCCCCCAGTCCCCAGCCCCGGCAATTAAATTATGTAAATGGAAACAAAGCCAAACAAAAAGGCCAATGCTGCGCAAAAAGACGCCAAGCGACCTAAGCTAACCTCGCGTTTGTCTGTGTTGCAAATGAAGAGATGAAGACCGCATTGGAGCTGTGACAGCGAAGAAAGATCAGACAGCATTCAGAATACCCTCACTGCAAGGTGAAAAAATAAAGCTAACAGACAACAAATGTATATTCGTTATTTTCGGGTATATTCTTACCTTGGCGATCAGACATGGACTCCCTCAAGGAAATTCTTAATGTAACACATTGAGCGCTTTTAATTGCGATTAACGTGTCCATACACTTAGTTGTGTATCCAATGAATTCGACTTTAGTAAATCGTAAATGCGGGAATATCTCTGCATAAATGAATTTTATAGAATAATATTATATAAGGGAAATTAAATGAGAAATGAGCAACTCAATTGCAAATTAGCATGTTAATATATACCCACGGCCAAGGCTAAATAAAATGTTTTACCGATGGCTAACATTAGATTTGGTTGTACAAATGCATGAATAAATTAAATGTACAATATTTTTAAAATATTTGGGAAACAAATGTTAATAATATGGAAATTATAAAGACTTCTTAAACAGAATATTTGTTTGGGTAATAAATGGGAATAATGTCATAGCTGTAATTAAAATATAGAACCTTACAAACATCCCAAAAAGTAGTGATACCTTTCCGGCCAGGGAAACCAATGGAGTGAACCCCAAAGTCGATTTGCCGTCTCGGCTGCTTCTTCAGCTGGCTGATTAAACATCAGGAAATACAAAATGCTAAGCAGGCAAAAGCAAATTGTAACAGGGTCCAAAGACAGCCCCGCACAGCAAACGAGTTCTCAGGCCAAAGGCGACCGAAGCGTTTGATAAGCGGCCAAAACTCGTTCGGTCGCACTGCGACCGTTGCGGAGGCCGGGACGGGTGTCTTAGCCAGCTAGCCCCATTGACTGATTATTGTTATTAATGCGAATGCGAACGCGAGATGCTGCTAGCTGGTAGCCTGCTGCTTTTTGCCATTTGCATTGACATTGACTTTGACCGAGAAATTATAAATCGGAGCCAATGTGACGCATACGTGCTGCGGCATAAGTAGTTGCCTGGATGGGATTTCTGGGTGCGTTAATGCAGTGCATTTGCATACATTTTGCATTTGCATTTTATTGGCCCTTCCGGCTGATTGACATACAACGAAATGAATGCATTTATTCAGCAGTCTCAAAAATTTATGGTTTCATGGTGTGCTTAACCCATGTCTCCGACAAGTACTTGAGCCTGTAATTATTACCCTGGACACACCCGATTGACCACCCATCCAACCGCTGACGTTCGGCATTCAGTCATTGGGTCAAAGCCACCGCGGATCGTTCAAGTTCAAGCCCCAAAGAGATTAGAAAAATTACCCGAGACTAGATCAAAAAACGACATTGACCGTCATGTCATGGCACAGCTCACACAGCACATCGAAAATAGAAACCTTTAGTGTTTAGTGGCCATTAGCCGATGCCGATGCCGATGTCGGTTGGTTTATTTGCAATTTTAGCATGCCATCGGAGCGGTCGGAACTTCTGCCAATCCGTTCGATTCGATCCGAGCACGATCAGGTCCGATCCGAGCTAATGCGCCGGCGCGCGTCTCCGTCTCCATCTCCAGTCTCAGTCTCCGCATTTCGTTATTGTCTTCTATTTCCTGGTTGGAGTTCGCCATGCCGACTTTTTGGCATTATCATGAATTAATTGTTGCATATTATAGCGACAAGCATTGACCCCAATAGGTGAGGGTGCGAGTGTGTGGGTACTGATAAACAAACCGCAGATTCGCGAAGCAGAACGCGCAAATAAATTAATATTTTCTGCTGGATTTAGCCTCTAATGGCACAAAATCTGATCATTAGAAGCAGAGCGGCAAACAAGACTAAAGTCGTGCTTCTCATACTCAGCTGTCATTCGGCTGATTATACAAATATCTGTGAGCAGAGAACGGTGAGTTGGGTAAGCTGGGAGCTATTCTGCGACCGAAGTTCTACTGTATTGCGGCCTGCTTTATGTCCATTCAGTTGTTTTTCCCTCTGTCAAGTACTGAGTTAAATCTTTTTTGTTTGGTGATTCGGCACAAAATCAAATTAATGAGATATTCAATTTGTTTTTGTAATACTTTGCTATAGAACTTGGGCTAAATCCCAACCATTCCTCAATATGCTCACCGCTCACTTATTGGAGAATCATGCGCTTCAGTGTGATTGTTAAATAGCTTTGCCTAATGACTGTAAAATAAATCGATTATTATATTTATGATGGCACTGAACAGTTCTTAGAGTATTCACATAATTGGTTTGCACACCACTTAAACAATGAAAGTTAAAAATTAATTTAACATGTAACATAATTAATATTAAATGTAAACCAAATTAAATTAAAAAAAAATTAATAATAATTAATAATTAAAAATCAATCATCCTTTTGAATAACCGCAACTTCTAGGAAGCATGAAAATACTTCAACTTAAGGCATACATCTGGAAAATAAATATAAATGTTTTCAGTTGGATAACAGAAAACATATTTGCGTTTACATATTTTTTAAGAAAATGAAACAATTTTGTATAGGGAAAAATATACCTTTAAATAGTGTTAGGGCATCTTTATTAAATTATTTATAAAATTATTTATTATTTATGCAAAAGAAGATACATTTTTTCTCTTTTTGGCTGTCTGAAAAGCTACCCGTTTTATTGACAACTTTCAAACACTTTCGATCTGACTTGAAGCAAAAAAGACTCCAATTTTAAAAGCTCAAAATTCAAAATTAAAAAGCAACAAAAATATTTCGGAGAAATGGTCAAGGTTGTGGAGGACATTTTCGGTATCGCGACCAACCCGATTACGAAGCAGGCCCAGGTAGTCCGTAGATATACGATCACCAACGCCAACCGCCTCTCGGTGGCCATCATCCAACTGGGAGCCACCGTTCAGAGCATTCAGACGCCGGATGCCTACCACCAACTGGCGGACGTGGTCCTCGGATTCGACGACATTGCTGGCTACACTAAGAACCGAAAGTACAAGTTTGGCTGCACGCTGGGCAGGGTCACGGATGTCGTGGCCAACGGAGAGTTTATCATGGATGAGCGAAGGATCATCGTGTCCAAGAACCTGAACCAGAAGCACCAGGTCAACGGGGGCTTTGTGGGCTTCGATCAGATCATTTGGGATCTGCACATGAAACGACCGGATGGCGTTACTCTGCGACACATATCGAAGGACGGGCACGAAGGGTTTCCTGGCAACCTGTACGTACTGATCCACTTCACCATCGACGATGACAACCGGTTCTTCATCTGGATCGAGGGCACCACCGATCAGACCACAGCGGTGAACATATCCAACCATATTTACTTCAATCTAGCTGGCCAGAAAACTGGGAAAAGGGGCATCTTTGATCACCAGATCACAATCGAGGCGACGGAAACGATGGAGTCCATGGGCGACGACGGTCTGCCCACGGGGAATTTCAAGGCCGTAGATGACTCTGTGTATGATATCCGACTACCGGTGTTCTTGGGCGATCGCGTGCGTCAGTTCGAGAAGCAAAAGGTGACCGGCTACGATGTGTTTTATGCCCTCGACAAGGAGTTCGATTCCAATATAACGCGCTACATTGCCCGGTTCTTACATTCGCATTCCGGCAGATTTATAGAGCTTTATAGCAACCAACCGTGCATGAAGTTTTCCACCGCTAACAACTTTCCGCAGCAACCGCTTGGCGAGGAACCTATCCTTGGGAAGGAGTGCACCCGCTACTGGCAGCATTGTGGTTTCAGTCTGCAACTGCAAAACTATCCGGATGCTGTAAATCAGCCGGAGTTCCCACGGATATTTATCAATCCCGGAGAGCACTATTTCCACGAAACCGTTTACCAGTTCGGGGTCCAGGAATCATGGAAATGCTGCGCCGATCCAAACGAAATATCCGAACTTTGCGAGGAGTCAAAAGAAAAGCTAGAACCAGAGCCGAAGCCAGATCTAGAGCCGGGGCCAGTGCCAGTTCCGGTGCCTGTTAAAAAAACAGGTTTTTAATTACAAATTTAGGTACGCAATGTAAATTATTTCGATGTTCGATTTTGTATAATAAAATATTTGTCCATTTTGGTATTTACATTTAAAAAATTACATAGAGACAGGAAATTGTATGCACATTAACTCTGATCTAAATCATTGGCATCTGCTGTAATATCTGATCTCTTAACTGCTGTATTGACGCCACACACTGAGGATGAAATCGATGTGGCTCAGCACATCAGTGAAAACGACGGCCCTTCTGCATTGATAGTTCGTATAACTGGCGATTCCGATCTGGACAAAGCGATCGCCCTTTGTGGTCGAAATCATTGCTCCAACCGGACCGCCGGAATCACCGTTGCACATGGTGCTTGTCCGGCTTCCAGCGCAAAACTGTTTGCTGGTAACGTTTAAACCAACAAACTCAGCACAGACATCAGGCGTCTGTCGCCAGATTTCCAGTGTCCTGAGCTCATTGCTAGTCCTCCCGTTCTCGGTATAGCCCCAGCCAGTACCGGTCAGCTTCTGAATCTCGTTGATAGACTTTGCCCACTCAACGGTGTTCCTAGCGATACAGATAGGCCTGATGTTCGCTGTTAGGAGACAAATATGACAAAAATTAAAAGTATACCTAAGAAAAAGTCTATTGTATCAGCCACTCGGAACTTACCTTTGAAAACCACTGTTCCCTGCAGCAGTAGGATTGCTATGTCGTTAACAAACCTTATTGAATTGTAGTAAGGGTGTATGATTGCCTTTTCCACTGGATGCTCCTCGCGCTCAGTACAGTATGTTCCAAAACATTTACTTTCTTGATGTCTCCAATACTCTCCGAGCCGAGCCCTGTAAAATCGTATATGTATATGAGGACTTTCTGTTATGATACTTTTAAGTGTAAATAGCTTACATAAGATTTTTGTGACCTTTGATACAACTAGCTGTCGTCAGCACCAGTCCTGCAAAAAATCATATTAACTACAAGCGAAAAGCGATTTTTTAAAAAACGAACGGTTAGATATCAGAGTTCCACCGCAAATGAAATAATCTTCATCACGCAGAAAAACCATCCAGGGACTCGAGGTCATGTCGGCGACTGTGCCATTTACAACTCGCTTGCTACGATGTTGAGCTCGGATTCCGCACTCCGCGTCCAGGAATTGGTCACCTTCTGGCAAGGGCATCACAAGCCCCAGCAGGCAGGCGAAAGCTACGATTTGAATCACGGTCGTTTTCATTTCGAGAATGATTCCGAAATGTCGGGAGCACTAAGTGATATAGTGGGTCTTATCACTTGTCTCAAAAAAATTCTAAGAAAGATGGTATGTATATATATATTCATTGATTGCCTATTCTATTCCTAAGAAATAAATTCTGAATAAGAAAAGTAACATAGTCCGCATCACTTTCTGATTTAGTACTTACTTATCGCATTCTTTATAAATACAATCATATTAAAACAATAAACTTGGTTTTCTAAGAATATATAATATAATTTTAAAACCTTACATTTAAGTGGAAAAAAGTAAAATAATTCATAAGCTGAATATAATTTATTTAATTGTTTTATTTTTTCACCCTTTTTTGCCTTAACAAATTTTGCTCAATTCTAAAAATTATCATAAAAAATTATGGATAAATATTGAAATTGTAATACCTCCTTAAGTATATTATAATTAGAGTCAGAAGATAGAAATGCAATGAAAGAGACATTTCCGGCCATATAAAGCATATATATTCTTGATCAGCATCATCTGAGTCTATTTAGTTGTGTCTGCAAGAAAAACATGTCATCATTTTATTTTTTAAAATTTAATTACATCGTTAAAAATTAACAAAACAAAAAGAAAAGAAAACCCGAATTTATTTCAGTATGAAGACTTATAAACCTTAAAAAACTAACACAAAAACCCTTTCCGAATTAAATTTTAATGCATTTTTCGCTCAGTTATAGAACACCGAATTTCTTTATACCGATTTTCAAGTATCTCATGCCAAATTATGAGCCCTAATTAGCTATTCATAGGGGTTTCTGGCGGTTTCCCACGAAAGATCGCCTTTTTAAATTGGAAAAAATATGGCGGACGTTGCGAATTTTCAAAATGGGCGGCAATTGTTCAATGGCCGTCGCTTTTCACCATTTCAGTGTGACCAGCTACCAGGGAGGGGGAATTCTCACTGCCTTTGGCAATTTCTCCGTGTTGCAATACAGCGGGCACACTGTAGCCTAATCTGGATTTGAGTGCACTTTTTCCGTTTTGTTTGTGTTTTATTTAACGCCCTATCTGCCCTGCACTGATTCAGCGTTGACATGACGACGGTGAGGACGAGCGACTGCATTTAGGACGCTGCCAGCCACGAGCGATGACCGTTTGGGGCATAGAAGCCATCACTCTGAACGGATCGGCAACAAGGGCAGCCAGTGAGCGTCTGCGAGGGAACCCTGGTGTGATTGCGGACACGGGAGCAATGAACTCGGTGGAGCGCTACCGGCAGGAGTGGGAGCAGCTGCTGAAGAGTCTCGATGGCGAGCCTGAAAGCCTGCGGCAGGCGGCCTTCGCCGGGGACCTCAAGATGTCCAAGTTCCGTAGCATTCACTGGGCTCTGCTGCTACGAGTCCTGACCTCGGAGCACCGCAGCTGGATCAGCCAGCGGCTACACCAGCGGGTGCGGTACGATAAGTTCCGGGCGGACTACGTGAGGAATCCCCACCAGCTGGCAGGGGATTGCATCGATGACCCGTTGTCACAGTCCACGCAAAGCGTGTGGAACCAGTACTTCAGCGACCAAGAACTCTTCGCCGTCATAAGGCAGGACGTGGTGCGGACCTTCCCGGGTGTGGACTTCTTCCGAAAGCCCTTGGTGCAGAATGCAATGGTGAACATACTGTTCTACTACGCCAGGGAGCATCCGTACATGTGCTACAGGCAGGGAATGCACGAGATCCTGGCCCCGATCATCTTTGTGGTATACAGCGATCACCAGTCCCTGTTGCACTTCAGTGAGCTGGCCAAGACCGACATCAATCCGACGCTGCTGGACGTTCTGGATCCCGCTTATCTGGAGGCGGACACCTAGTACAAAAATCTCAAAATATTCCACGTTCAATACATTAACGTATTCCCCTTGTGCAGCTCGTTGTTCTCCCGCCTGATGGCTTCGGTGGAGTCGTACTATCGCGTCTCCAATCTGATCTCCACTCCCGGTGGCCATATCGAGCAGCGGGCCGAGGTGCGTCCCCCACTTTCAAGTGCAGCAGTCAGTCAGTGCACCAGCCCTTATCTCTGGCCTTTTTTGTCTTTCAGGCCCCCGGGGAGAATGAGCCCCAGACGGAGGCGGAGGTTATCAGCCAGCTGAACTTTATACGGGACAAAATACTCGCCAAGCAGGACCAGCACTTGCATCACTATCTACAAAAGATGGAAATCCCGCTGCACATATTCGGCATGTAAGTTTGCAATCAGAAATGCGGGAGAGATTTCAAATGCTAATCTCTCCTCCAATGCAGCCGCTGGCTACGACTCCTCTTTGGTCGGGAGTTCATGCTGCTAGACCTGTTGCTGCTGTGGGACGCAATCTTCGCGGACAGTGACCGCTTCGACCTGCCCAACTACATTCTAGTGGCCATGCTGGTCCACATTCGAGATAAGCGTGGGTACTTTCCCCATTGTACTTCCCGCCCTGGCTAATTCCCCTTTCAGTGCTGCTCAGCGACTACACAACTTCGTTGACGTATCTAATGCGCTATCCCGGCAATGTGGACGTACACTTGGTGCTGCGGCATGCTCTCTTCATGCTTAACCCGAAAAAGTTCGACTATCCCGCGAATGCCTTCGCCTGTGTGTCGTTCGCCAACCACTCAACAGGCAAAGAAGGAGTACCACCGCCCACTGGGACGCGACCTCGCACTACTTCAGAGTCCTCATCGGGGGCGACCAGCGGGAGTCAGATTGATCGGCAGATCACCTACATGCAGGAGCGCAATGCGGCGGACTCCTCGGCCCTGGCTAAGCTGCAGGACTCCCATCGAGTGGCCATGGACGGTTACCTGGAGAATGTGAGCCATATCAAAGTTTTCTTTCCAAGTGTTTGTTCATTTTGATTCGTTTAGAGTCCCGAGCTCCTTCGCCTGGAACTGAAGAATGCCCAAACAGTGATTAAGATTGCGCGGAGCAAGCTACAAACCTATCTGGGGACCGTCCGTCACCATGTGGCCAAGCAGGCGAACGGAAACGAAGAGCTCGGCCGCACTCTAGATGGAATCGAGGAGCTGTGTAGCTTCCTGGACGTCAAGTTCATGTTTCCGCTGCACACGCGTTCGGCCCCCATCGATCAGGCCTTGGAGGCCAATGAGCAGAAGCAACCGAATAGGAGTAGCATTTCGCCAAAGGCTGCACCTCCAGCTCCGACGCCTGCACCAACAGCATCCTCAATCCCTGGGTGCTATGAGATGCCCGAGAACGCCTTCATGCACAGCTCTATGCGGCGTCTTCTTGGCGAACTGCGGGAAATTGAGCTGTCAACGATAACGAGTGACGAGAAGCCGGGCGAATCGGTGGTCCAGAATGGCTTGCCGGCTGCAGAGCCCCAGCAGCGACATCAAGACGAACCGAGCTGATCGTAGCGACTGATCTTGAATTTAGACTTAGTCAAGAGCAACCACCAAGTGGCCGAATCAGAATAACTGGAGAGTAACATATAGACATACAGTTTAACTATACTTTAGACCTGGCAAAAGTCTGTAAACTAAATAAATTTATCAACTTTTTGAAGTGCTTATAAAGAAAACTATTGGAGCGATCATTATTGTGGAAAGTGGCACTAGCGGGTTAGATTGTTGTTCTTTTATTTGAATGGATCATTAAGCAATTTATAAATCATGAAAATTACTAAGTCTAAGGCAGTGGATTAGCTTTGATATTCGCAGGAGCTCAAAGGTCAGATGGATGCTGTTGGGACCACCAGAATGCTGCTGCTGCTGCGACTGCCTTAGTGATGGTCATCGTTCAGCTATTGTTCTTTTTCAGGTGTGTTTGTCGGAGTGGGACCAGGAAATTGCCATTGTAAATTTCGGCCCAAGGCGTGGGATGGTTGGGTCTAAGGATATAAATTCGGATTCATTAACTTATGTAGCGGCACAAATCGGCAAGGGCGCGGTTTGTTCACATCCAGAAGGTCTTGGGGATTGCCGGTGTTGGCAAGAGACACGGTTGTATCCCCGTTGGCTGACGTATTCGGAGTAGATTCCAAGTCATTGTTGTTGTTCTGCATGATCTGGTCGTCTTCGTTAATTGTGATGACTTTGGAATGGAAATCGATATCAGCAGCAGGTTTGGGTTTAAATGAAGCAGCTGCAGCTGCAGAGTCAGCAGCAGCAGTAGCAGGAGGAGCTGCAACAGGATTCAGTGGAGCGGGGGTAGAAACGCGAGATGCTGCCTTTGCGGAATCCCTGCGCATGGCTTTAATCTCCAAGTTACAAACCACCTGCATGATATTGGCTTTGCCCTCGGCGGCCAAGTCCGCAGGCAGAGATTTCATGGTAGGCACAATGCTGTCAAAGAAGAGATCCATTGGGTGCCGGGGCTCCGAAGGTTGCCCAGTATTGTTGTCTTGTCCCATGTTCCCTTTTCCCTCCTTTGTTACAAGTCGATTGAAAATATCAAGTGAGGAGCAGATCTTGTCCATGTCTAGCTGACTGCGCTCCTCGTGGCGCTTGTTCTTGGTCTTCTGATTGGCGCGAAGGATGTGCTTGCGGGATCGCTTTGCCGGCGGCTCTGCCATGCTGCCGTCAGATCTTAGGGGATATAAGCTGATCAGAACTACTGCTTGGATGGTCAGAACTTCTGCACTCACCGCATGCTCTTGTCAGTGTCACTATCCATGTCCATCTCTAAGCCAGGCTCTGGCACTTCCACATCCGCGGGGGCTTCTGAATTGATGCTGAACAATGGCGCAGTGTTCTTATCGTTGTTGCGCTTCTGCCGCTTCAGTCCCCTGGTGTGCTTGCGAGAGACACTGTGTTGCCTTAGGTGGAACACGGTGAAGCGCAGCCGCGTTTCGCAAATGAGGCAGTGGCACCGACTCTCATCATTGGCATCCAGCATCAGCCAGTTAAACTTGGCCTTCAGCTTTGCGATTTTAGAGGTAGTCATCTTCTTTCGCGGCTTCTCGTGGCGAGAATTAATCAGATTCTTGGGCTGTTGACGCACCCCGGCAAGTTCCTTGGTCTTTGTTAGTTCCAAATCAGATTTCGCTGCTAGACTGATATAGAAATTATATTATTATATAACCCTAGCAGGGATATTATAATTTCAGTCAGAATTATAAAGTATATACATGGGTATATTCTTGATCAGTTTCAACAGCCGAGTCGAACTTGCCATGTCCTTCTGTCTGTACCTAAACTAGTCCCTCAGTTTTGAAGTTTTCGAAATGAAACTTTGGAAATAGTCTTCTGACTACTAACACTAGTATATACATATGTACATAAGTCGAATCGGACAATTTTTATGACAAAAATTAAAACTTCGCATATTTTCATCTACTCTGAGACATGGGCATTTTGTATTATCTTAGAATTTCGGTTATAATATTATGAAAATCGGAGGACTATATCATATAGCTGCCATAGGAACGATCGGAAGATATAAAGCTGTGATTGTAGAACTGTAAATATTTGTATTGGTAAATATAATAATATATCAAATATTTAAATTATATTGAATACAACTTAAAAATGTGTTTCTTAAAATCTTACGAAAACAAATTAATTATATTCTATGTATAAATATATTCTTTGTCTATCTTCTTTTAGTTTTGACTCGATTTTTAATGAGCCAATTGATAACTGCTTAATTTATTGATATTGGCTTTGGAAAACACCTACCCCTGGGTGCCCTTTTGCTTTTCGGACCAATTGTCTTCTTCCTCGCTGCTCTCGCTTTCCGATCGAGTCTCTGACTGCGGGGACTTACTGGCTCCTCGCTCCGCCACCACCTGCTCCTCTTCGTTGCGCACGTCCTGCTCCCCTTCCCAATCAGCCATGGTACACGTGCTTCACGGATATCTCGAGGTTCTAGCGTTTAATTTTCTAATTTCCGTAAATAGACAGCTTTTGACAGACCAAATGACCCGTTCCGTTGTAGAACTATACAATGGAGATTACCGAGCTGGAATGAAGTTTCCACAAATTTCAGGGTGACAACGAAATCAAACGTCTCCTGTGTTTAGTTTCAGCTTGCGTCTCCTTGTCGAACTAAAATTGAGCTGTCAACGATAAAGAGTGACGAGATGCCGGCGAATCGGTGCTTCAGAATGCCTTCCAGGCTGCAGAACCCCAGCAGCTAGAAGAACCGAGCTGATCGTATCGACTGATCTTGAATTTATACTCAGTTAAGAGCAACCACCAAGCGGCCAAAGAAGAATAACAAGAGAGTATCATATAGACGTACAGTTTTAATAATAATTACAACTTGGCAAAACACAAGTTTATCATGTTTTTGATGTGCTTATAAGAAAACTATAGGGGCGATTTACTGGGCACAGTTTCAGATTGATTTTGGGAAATAAAAAAAAAAAAGAGTTCCAATTTGTTATTCTTTTTTTTGTCGTCGAGTGACGCATAATATATGTAAATATATAAATATTAAATAGGTTTCGTACTCGCAAGCATTCATCTTTAACGTATGCATAAAATAGTGTCCGATTCAAAGCGAATTAAATAATGACAATGACTAAATCTAAGGCTATGGAATAGCGATTATTTTCTTAGGAGGCCTATGGTCTACGGTTGTGATTCAGCATGGGCCGAAAGGAAGCTATGCTATTGGGAGCACCACGCACCATTGGCGAGGACATGCTTCCAGAATTCTGCTGCTGCGGCGACTGCATGGGTGCCTTGGAAATAGTGATCATCTTAGAGCTATTGTTGTTGTTCACCCGTATTTGCCGGAGCATGGCCAGGGTATTGCCATTTTTAACTTCGGATCCAGGCGTGGGCGGTGCCTCCAGGGAGCCACCCTGGGAATGTCGTCCATTTCCATTCACGCTAATCGGACTCTGAGTGGTTAACTTGTCCAGCGGCACACATCGCACGGAGTCCGGATCGTTGCGGTTTGTTACCTGCAGTTGCGAAGAGCTTAATATACGACGAATATTCACTGGCAGGTCCTTGGGACTGCCGTTGATGGTCAGGGATGCGGTGGGTGCTCCGCTGGCAGACTTATTCGGAGTTGAGTCCACGTCATTGTTGTTGTTCTGCATGACCTGGTCGTCGTCGTTAATTGTAATGACATTGGAATGGAAATCGATATCAGCAGCGGTGGCTTGAACTGAAGCCGCTGCAGATGCAGATTCAGCAGCAGCAGTAGCAGGAGTAGATGAAGGGGGGCTAGAAACAGGAGAAGCTGCCTTTGCCGAATTCCTGTGCATGGCTCGAACCTCTAAGCCACAAACCAGCTGCATAATCTTGGCTTTGCCCTCAGCAGCCAAGTCCGCTGGCAGAGATTTCATGGTCGGCGCAATGCTGTCGAAGAAGAGATCCATTACGTGCCGGGGCTCCGATGGCTGGGTATTCGGGAGGGTCGCTCTTGCCGGTTCCGGCGCCTGCGCCGTGCAGTTCCCATGTCCCATGGCCCCCTCTCGCTCCATCGTTCGCAGCCGGGTGACAATATCAAATGAGGAGCAGATCATGTCCTTGGCCATGTCTAGCTGACTGCGCTCCTCGAGCCGCTTGCCCATGGAATCGCGCAGGGCGCGAAGGATGCGGCGAACTTCCATTGAGCGGCGGGATCGCTTTGCCGGCGGCTCTGCCGTGCTGCCGTCAGATCTAAGGGTATAACGCTGATCAGGAACTACTATTTGGACGGACACAACTTCAGCACTCACCTCACGCTCATGTCGGCGTCGCTATCCTTGTCCACCTCCAGCCCCGATTCCTGTACTTCCGCATCCGCGGTGGCTTCTGAATGGGTGCTGACCGATGGCGCAGCATCCTTGGCGTTGTTACTCCTCTGTCGTTCCAGTCCATCGGCATGCTTGCGCGAGGCATCGTGCTGGCGCAGGAAGAACACCTTGATCGGCAGCCGCGTATCGCAAACGCGGCAATGGCAGTGGTTCTCATCATTGGCATCCGGCTCCAGCCAGTCATATTTGGACTGCAGCTCGGCCATAGCAGCCTTCTGCCTGGCCTCGCCACTGGCCAAAGCGGCGGCAGTGGCCACGGCGGCGGAGATGCTCTCTGTCGACCGCGGGGGCTGACCGCCATTGCGCTTCCGTTCGTTGCGCAGGCGAATGTGCCGCGAGGTGCGCTGGTGCTTCGCGGCCCACTTGGAGCTGGGCAGGAAGATGGACACATCGCAGAGCTTGCACCAAGCGTAGTTGACGCGCATCTCGTTTTTTTTGTAGGTCAGCCAGGGAAACCGGGATTTCCACACCATCACCTTGCCCTTCATGGTGGCGGGAATGGGCTTTACAAATAGTTTATCAATGGGCCGGGTGTCTCGCTTTTTGTTATCCACCGTGCCCGAGTCCGAGTTGCTCTGTCCGTCCTCGTCCACTTCGTCCTCCTCTTCAGCGGCTTTGTTTTGCGGCAACTTCGCCTGGCGCGCCTTAAACTGATTCATAAGCTTTTGATGCCGGGCGCTGAAATCGTGCCGCGCCTTCGCCGATTCGCTATGGAAACGCACTCGGCAATACTTGCATAACTGGGTTTTCCGGTCCTTGGTAAAACATAGCCACGGATAGAAACGCTTCCCGGCACGAACCTTGGCTCTCCTTGGCTCCGCAACAGATTTCGCTGCTAGGCTGGTATAAAAGAAGTGATTATAAAATTATTATTATATAAATATTATTAATATTGTTATTATTGAAATCACCTACCCCTTGTTGCCCTTCTGCTTGTCGGACCAATTATCGTCGTCTTCTTCGCTACCCTCGCTTCCCGATCGGGCCTCAGACTGCGAGGGCTCACTGGCCTCCGCCTCCGCCTGCTCCTCCTCCTCCTCCTCATCGCTGCCGTCCTCCTTCCGTTCTCCATCAGCAATGCCAGCTTCGCCGGCTACCTTGGCGGCAGCAAGAGCCAACGTGTGCTTCTCGGATTTCTCGTGGTTCTTTCGCTTGATCTCCGAATTTCCGTACATAAACCGCTTCTGGCAGACCTTGCAATAGGCCAGGTTTGGCTCTTCTGGGTCGGCAATCATCCAGGGATGCAGGTCAGCATACACGGCCCAAATGCCCCGTTCTGTTGTAGATCTGTAAATAGCGATTGGCGGGCTTTAACAAAGTCTCCACAAAATCAAAGGTAACAACGATATTGAACGCTTCCTGTGCATAGGATCAGCGCCTTCGTGCAAACAGTAAAACCTACCGTCTCCGAGCCGGGTCCGTTAGCTTCTGGCAGTGCGCATGGGTCTTGCAGTGTCGCATGAAGCTAGTGATTGCCATTGGGCAATTGCACAGCGTGCAGCGGCACTGCTGTGGACTGGTGTCCGGAATTAGCTCGAACCACTGGCCAGGGTCCTCATTGTTACTCAAGTGACCGTTGATAGTCACCACGGTGGTGTCCTCTGCTTCTGGCTCTTCTTCCTGCTGTGGCTCCGTCTCTTGGTCCGCCTCCTCATCAACCAAGGAGGGACCGCTGGTGCTCTTGCTACGCTTTCGCTTGCGGCTTGGCTTATCCGAATCCTGCTGGCGTAGCGCTTCCTGATGACCCTTTGTAGTCTCGTGGCGCTTGCGCAGATAGACAAACTCAACATTCATTTTGATGTTGCAGACGCGGCACAAGCCGATGGTACCCTGCGCCTGGGAACGCTCCAGCCAAGGATGCCAGCGGAGCCACCGCAGCCAGTTGAAGTTGTTAAAGGCTTCGATCTCGCTAATCCGCTTCTTTTTCATGGCGGCCACGTAGCTCTTGGTGCCGAATTCGTGCTTTACCTCGTTGTCACTGGTCCTACGAACGATACGAGATTAGAGAGGAATATCTAGGAGGTTTGGGTGGGTCTTTGGGATTTGAATCTCTTTTATAAGGAATTAAAAACAAAGACGCCTCGGTACTCACGCTCCCCTAGTCTGCTCCTCACTCTTTTTGAAGGCCAAGTAGTTGTTCTCGCGCTCCTGATGATACAGCGACATGTTGTGCTGCTGAATGTGCTTGGCGCGGTTATTCACGTTAATGCTCATGTTGCAGTACAGGCAGAAGGCGTAGGTGCCGTCCGAGTCCTCATGCAGCATCCAGGGCCAGCGCTTCATCCAAATCAGCCAGCGCTTGGCGCGCGGCATCTTTCTGCGGGTGATACCGCCATTTGCGCTGCTGCTGCAATCGTCGATGCTATAGTCTTCGTCCTCATCTTGGCTATCGGCCTCCTGCGTTTCGAGGCGCTCCAGCAGGCCCATTGGATCGTGGTATGAGGGGTTGCTCTCTGCATCGCTGCTTGGTTCCGTCTTGGCAGAAAGGGTATCCATATCCCGGTCAGGGTCGCCCAGCAGCGGATCCTCTCCGGAAGGCTTTTCGTCAAGATTGCTCAGCGCCGACTGCAGCTCAGCCACCAGGGGAGTACTGCCCTCGTCCATGTTGATATCTAAGAGGTCCGCATCCTCGTGCTCCTCCTGCACCATCTCATCGCCCTGCTCGTCGTCGTCCACCAGGATAACCATTGGTTCCACAGGAGGTTCCGTCACCACCGCTCCCTCCACGTCCATGATTTTCAGCTCGTGCGTTGCCGAGGTTGCAGCATCGGGATTCGCCGACGCCATTTTGTGACCGGCGTCGGCCGCGCCGTTAAGCGGATCTGTTTGTGCTTTTTGCTCATCCATTACTAGCGGTTTATGGGTGAATCCCCCAGATACTCCGGGAACTTTCCACAAAGGTCACCGGCCGAACCGCAATCACAGCATGCGTTGGAAATAAAAAAAAATAAAAAGTGCAGGCAACAACTCAAATTTGCAATCGGCAGGGCAGAGTGACCGTAACTGGAGTAGGAAACTTTTAGTAAGGCCACATCATATATACTAAAATGTACTGAAAAAATACCGCAAAAAAATAATCATCGAAAGAAAAATCGATAGCAGCTTATGGAGTTGTGTACTTTAATAGCCTATTTACACTAAACATTTGGTTACAATTACAGTTTAACATTCGCAGCTTTACATTTTTGTCTATATCTACCAATAGTTTCTATGGCATTTATACGATATAGTTATCCGACTTTTATAAAAATAAAACAGAAATTCTGAAATAATAAAAACAAAACTCATATACCAGAGTACACGAAGTTTTTTAAAAAACAACGAAGCTATATTTTTTTCTATTAATTACTCGATATATAATACTCGAAATATAATAAAAACATATATATATAGTAAAACAAATAAAAATAAAAATAAATTAACATATTCTAAAGAAGAGGCAAATGTTTTCATAAAATTTGATATAGCCAGCCGATCCCGCACGTTCCGACTTATATAGCAGTGAGAGTAATCAGAAGACTAGAAGAAAAGTTTCATTAAGTTAGCTTCAAAACTGAGGGACTAGTTTACGTAAAAATGGACCGACGGACATGGCTAGATCGACTCTGCTGATGATGCTGATCAAAAATATATGTCTTCTTCACTGCGTTGCAAACGTCTTCCTAAAATGATAATAGCCAGAAAGGGTATATAAAAATACTAAAGCGGAAACTCTGAATGGAATGCGCCCCTTGGTATACTTCCGCTCTCCCAGTACGGTCATACAGTAGGCCAATTTGTTTATATTTTGCAAAAAGTCTGCTCAAATGGCGAACCTACAATTAACTCAGGAAAAACTGTGAGTATCCGCCAAGATATAGTCAAGAATTTTCCTAATGCAGACCTCCATTCCCACAGAGACGCTTTGCGCTCGGAATACAGGCCACGCCGGCCGTGTGCCCTGTTGAAGTATCCGCGGCCCAAGACAAAACCGGAATACCAGGCCATATATCCATGGCTGTTGCCCGACGAGACGGATCCGCACTTCGTGTTCTGCGCCGTCTGTGAGTGCAGGCTGAGCTGCAAGCGATCCGATCTGGGCAAGCATGAGGGCAGCATCAAGCACTCGGAAAATGCGCAGAGAAAAGCCCTGCCGCCCAGGGCGGAACCGGAGGCGGCGGGTGAACCGTTGGTCATGAAGTGGGAGTATAATGAGGACGAGGAGGCAGTACTGCCCTATGGACCAGGTGCCGACCCTCCCGACGATGATGATGATGACGACGACGACGACGACGAGGAGGAGGAGGAGGGCGGTGGGGATGCAGATACTGACGCCGACTACGAGCAGGAAGACGACGAAGAACGGGGTGTGGAGCCGGTTTCGGAGCCGCAGGTTGATCTCGAAACAGAGCCCGCCTCCAAGCAGCTGCGCCGCACCTCAGAGACGGACTCTCAACATTCCGGCATGCTGGACTACCTGCCGCTGCACGTGACCATCAACGAGCTGCCCCCCAATGCCCCATCAGTCTGTTCCACCTTTCCGTCCTCTTCGACGACGGCAGCTCCGCCCTGCAGAATAACCATCAAGAAAGTGGCAGCTCCCAGCACACCGCCCAGTGGAGCAGTTCAAGCGCCGGAGATCAGTTCCAAGGCCACCATCACGCCGATAGCAGCCGGTGGTCACTGCTACACACCCTCGACGCGCACCACGCCCTCCTACGCCGCCCGCCAGTTGCAGTCATTCCAGCTGCAGCACATATCGCCACTAACACCAGCCCGAGACTCCCTGGAGCTCTTCTTCGACAGCATCTGCGCCACCGTCAAGAGTCTGCCGCCTAAACTGGCCACCGAAGGTAAGATACGTGTGATGCAGCTGATCGGAGAGCTGGAGCTGCGTGCCCTCGGCGATCAGGAGGCGTCATCTCAGTCCGCTGGACATCACGGCCTTGATCTCGCTGGGAACGCAGAAGCAGGGGCAGCAGCCGAAGCGCCTGGCAGTGGTCAGCAGAACGCCACGGTGGCCTCCACCACCAAGTGAGATGAACAGGAATCCGTAATAGGCTGGAGACGTGGCTCAAGTCGACAAATTAGAATGTCCTAGTGCTTTCATTTCGTACGTTTTGTTGATCGATTTTCTTTAATAAATTTATTTATTAGTTGTTATGTGTTAGCTTGTGTTTAATGGATTAAAGAAACTTTTCTAGATGGACATTGAAAGCTTAAACTAAATTTAAAGTGTGAAAGTCCGAAAGGGGAAATGCTTGAGAGGGAAAAGATATATTTAAAAGCAATGTGAAATATTTTTATACATATATTAATATTCAGTAATTTGCAAATTCCTTTCCATATGATGATGTCACTAATGAGGTGAAGATTACCCAATGCCTAAGTCACATAACACATTGATAAACAAGCTCAGATATTTATAAATATTAGTTAATTAAACTTTATTGTAAAAATGATTGAAAACAAGAGAGTTATCAGTAAGGCACTTAGAGTACGGAAACGCCAGCGGGATGTCCCTTAGAAAGCCTGTTTGCCCTCCAACATGGCCTTGCCGCAGTAGAACGGAAACTGGACGCCCTGCAGCAGAATTTCCGATATGCCCTGCAAATGGTAACGAAGCGAATCAGTGTGGTATGTGATAAATTTTTTGCCGTGTAGGTGGAACCGAAATCGGGGACAGATATCGGTGGCAATAAGCCCCGGTTGTGGCCCTGATAAGTCGCTGAAATGACTAATTGGTGAAGAATCTACAGGGCCCGATAAGCAGTTGCCGCATGCAACTAGGCGGTACTTTTCATGACGCATCTCCCCACTAAACCACACCCCACCCTAAACACAGCCCTCCCAACAAACTGCACCCAATTAAGTCAACACTTACCGTCAGGGCGGGAATGCAGGAGGCGAAGGCATACACCCAGATGTAGAAGAAGGCGCAGAAGAAGGCCACGAAGAAGGAGACGAACCAGAAGACCAGCAGCCAGAAGATGAACCACAGTGGATTGGGCATCGTGATGAGTGGTGTTGTTTGTTCAGAACGATTCCAGCTGCGCGATAAGATAAATGTAAGGGATCTGTTAGGGGCTGGGTATAAACACGACGCTTATCAGGCAGTCGTCAAAACGGAACAGAGATCCCATTAAAATTTCAAGACTTCACAAGTCACCCAGGGAAAATAGCTTTGATGATTAATACGATTTCCCATCAACATTCTTCGCCATAAACTTGTATTATAAAGCAATGATTTTTTGTTTCTAAGTATAAATATATCTATGAAAACCCAATTAAATCATTTATAAATTTATATTTATATAATTTGGTTTCACCGACTCCACTATAAAAGTTTGATATTTTAAATATCACTCCATCAATGTCTAAATATAAGATAGTGAATGTCAAAGGAATTTAGGAATTTAAGTCTTTAAAAAAATTAGCGTTACTGATTGAATAAGCAACCTATTTTTGGATCTATTAACAAGTCATTTTCAGGCATATTTGTCTTTTATAAAACTATACTTCATAAACTTAAAACCTATCTCATAAGGAACACATTTTATCATTGTATTTTTCATCTCTGCTTATCTATATTTTGAAATTAAAAGCTAATATGATATTAGTATGCATTCAATCAGGTTTTCCCCCCCGAAACTGCATTGCCTGGCTTTCTTTTGCATTTAGATTTCACTTTTCGGTTCGTGACAAACATGCTAACAACCGATTTGGATCGGTTTTGAGACTGGAACTAGAAGCACTGACGTCAAAACTGATTATGCTCAAAAAAGGCAGCTGGTCGGGGACGGGGTCGCCGATGAGGAGTGCTCAGACCTTGATCTCGACCCCGATTTCGAGCCGAATTCCAGGTTCTAGAGCGCTGATTACAGGCCCCGCCAACAAGTGTCGTCATTATGCAAATCCGCCTTGTAGTCTATAGTATGTATACTACGTGGGGTGTGTCTTCTTAAGTCATCGAGTCATAAAGACAATTGCAGATCGTCAGCGAACCGGTTGGCACAATTAACACTCGCCATTCAGATGTTTTAATGGTCTCAGCGAAATTTTAAACATCTGCCAATTATTCGGCACACGCAGAACTATGCGTAAATATACTGTGTAAATATATGTACTTCCACCGCTCACCCACGTAGGATCGAAAGCCACTTAGGCGCAGAGTATAAAAACAAACAATAACAAACCAACCAGAGATCGGAGAGCCGCGAGTTCGACGTCCGGGGGATTCGGTAACTGATTGGAGAATGAGCGTCGAAAACCGGCGCAACAAGTTGCATAGCCGGTCCCATGGTGTAGTGGGTATTCAACAAGTCTCGTCGGCTGACGAAGCGTTGGATTTATAGGCCGTTAACGTTCTGTGTCTTTTAGCAGGAAAGGCACATTCTTAAGTTGCTTAAATTATTTATTTTAAAAAGTCTACGTTTAGAATAAAATTTCATATTAATAAAAAACAATTTTTTAAGCAGCATTTAAGATCTAATCAAAACAATAGGATAGTTAACAAACTACATTTTGCCACCTTATACCTTTTGTACCATAGACGGGCCAGTGCAACCAGGGTTGTCACCTGGTGCACTCCGCTGCAGAGTTTCGAGTGAAAGCTGTACGCTAAAAGCTTTCTCTCAATCGAAGCGGACACGGGCCGATCTTGGAGTTTTACACATATTGTACCTGGCTGCTTTTCTAAATCTTTAAGTTATTTATTTTTTAATTTTCTGTTTGTTTAAGATTCTTGATTTGGGATTTAAATCTATTAAAAGGGTATATGGGAAGAGACTAAACAAATTATTATTAAATGCTCGGTGTCATCATATACATATTAATCAGATTTACACGCATTATGTGTTCCTATATATGTACATATGTACCAACATTTGCCGAATTAATGCTTATATATTTATAAATATTTGTATTTTTCTTTTTACAAATGTACAATCTCGACTTGCTCATAGGAGAGCTTCGGTCGCCTGTTAGTTGTCGTTCGATCGTTCGGTACGTAATATCTATTCAGGCCCAGCTTAATAGGGCTCACTCAGTGCAATTTATTTAGTTAAAAAGCTCTTTGCCTAAACCTGTCAAAATTTTGAACAATGATCTCACACAAAAATTAGACATTGTTCAAATGTAAGTATATACAATTATTACAAAAATACATTCTTTTTTTAAAGACCTAAAATTAAATAGGATTATTAACATAATATGATGTTATTATAAGTACTCAAGTAATGAATTGCAAATATAAATGTAGGTAGGTACATATTTTCCTTAAAATTTCCTCGAAATCAATATGTCGTGTATAACAGATTGCTTTTAATAATAATCGAAAAGATAATATTTTTACAATTCGCACCCTATTAAAACCTATGAAACGGGAATAAAGCAAAGCCCCTCGGTGAATACCCTTATCACCTGAATTTATCAGTCAAACGACCGGCCATTCCGCTTATGGCGTTAAGCTCTTATCTTTCGCATTGCCGCATTCCGCCGCCCGGTTAGCCCAAGCCATCGGAGCTAAGAATAAAAAACTTTTCCAACCTCAGCTTCGTTTTGCATTTCTCTTTTCGCGGTTCTCGGAAAGCTTTCCTCGTGCCGCAAGAAGATTTTCATCCAAATGCTAAACTGTTATACCGGCCAAGCCGCTGCGTTACTAACAACAACTAACAACTCTCGTGCACACAGCTGAAGGCTAAAAGCTTTCTGCGGCTGCTTGTCAATGTTTTCATATCAAATTTCCTATATTATGTAGGCTCGCCGTCGCCCCAGTGTGTGTGCGTGCGAGTGTGTGCTGAAAAGTTTTTCATCCCGGACGTCGACGCCGCTTTGCAGCTGTTGTTGTGGTTGGCTGGCTGACGGCTGCTCGGCATTTTATTCTCCGCATTCTGCTGCGAGTCGTCGGGCAAGCAAGCTGGTTCCGAAGTAATTCGATTTGTGCCTGCGTTCGATTCGGTATAAAATTATTATACACAAAAATAAACAAACAAAGCAATTAACTATATAACAGCATTTTCACACTTTGATCCTGCCTAAGCAGAGTTTTCAAATCTTCTCAAAAGTGTGTAGCATACTTTGCGGCTCAAAACAGCTGCAGCTGCCTGTGTGTGTGTGTGTGTGAGCTTGAGAGAGTAAGAGAACGAGAGAGTGAGAGTGTGTTTTTGTGTGTGTAATACTAACTTAAAACGTGTGCGATCGATTTTCGGGGGTTTTAGTAAAAACAAACCCCAAACAAACTATTAAACCCATATAAAACTTAAACTTTGCCTGTAAAACAATAGAAAATAAAAAACGTTTGTTTAACCCTCATTACTCGAAGCACCCATTTAGTACAATAACATTTACCCAGCTGAGAGAGTAGCCTCAAATAAACAAACAAAGCGGCCGCCACTTGAGATAATGAAATTTGGTTCGGGGGCTCAGCAGCCAGAACCACAACAACAAATGCGGCAAAATGTCGCAGACGAAAGTTTCCGATTTTGATTCCGAACAAAAACAAGCTAAAGCTTCTGCCAAAAATACAGAGAGAGAGAGAGAGAGAGTATAACAGTTTTCCGAAAGCTGCGAGCGAGGGAGAAAGTAACGCTGACCAGCCGCATATTCCCGCTATTTCGTATGGATTTCGGAAAGCGAGCGGAAAAGCCTTGCCCCCCGAGAAGGTGTGTGTGTGTGTGTGCGTGCCTGCCTTTCGAACAGTTTAAAGTACGCATTGCGATGGCATTTGGCTTCAGTTTAGCTAGAGACATCGTCGTGTTTTGAACGGTTGGCACACAGTGTTTCCCGAGCGGAGCGGATCGAGCGGACTACGCCACTAGTTTTCAATTGGGTGCGCAAAAAAAGAAAAAAGAAAAGAAACAAAACCAAAGGAAAAGGCTGGAAAATAAGAGGCCCAAGACAACGGCACAAAGTAAACCTAAAAGCAGACTATTCATTTCCAAAGGGTCCCCATTTCCCCGTTCTCTATCCGTGTTTTTGCCGCACATACACACCACACACACACACACATCACACACCAAACACATAGGCATGCATGTGGCATAACACGGACAGAAAAGGATATTCAGATAGTCAGATGTAGTGTGTGATAAAGTGAAGTTTTTGTGCAAAAGAAGCGGGCGAGAATTAAACGCAATCAGTCCCTAAATTATATTTGCAGTTTTAAAAATCAGCGAGTTGGGAAAATCGAGAAAAATAATTGAATAAACAACAAACATAAACAGTGGCATGCAAACGAGCGGCCGAGGGCAGCATTTTCAGCGCACAAATTGGTGAGTTCTTAACCTAAAAACATGGTTAAGTTAAAAAAAGTTACTTTAAGATAAGGTTTTTAAAGGTTTTCCCTATATATATTTCCTATTTTGCAATTTTATAAAATTTATTTTAGCTGGGCTTCCTTACTATAACCCTTTGATAAACATTTAAATATAATTAAATTAATAAAAGGAATAGCAAACATTATAAAATATAATTCAAATTAAACATATTACCCTATTTTAGTTTATCCGATTTTTTATATTTGTGTTACTCAGTTTATTGCCAAATTTTATACTTTTTTCGATATTCTTTTGTTCTCAATTAGTAACCAAACTAAAATTCCTTTAACTTTTCCGTTTTGGCTCCGAAATTTCGTATTCGATTTTCGCATTTAACGATTTTTGATGAGCTCCGTGATCCGTAAAGTCTTCAACATATACACGCACAGAGTGGGAGGTGGGGAGGGGAAACAGGACACCCAGGCAAAGGAATAATAGAGAGGGAGAGAGAGAGAGACAGAGTCTTACAAATTCATAATTTGTCTGTTTACATACGAGGACCTGGTCACTGGTATTGGTGGTTTATCGAGTGGGGCTGCCTCAATGTCCGCCCGCTTGGCCCACCACCCACAGCACCACCATCGCCGAAGGAAAGCGAAATGCGTATTTTTTTCTTTCGATGTTTTCCTTTTTTGTGGGGCACGTCGGCTCCATAACTTCCGCTCGGTCGGCTCACGCGCACACCTGTACCCACTCCCATGCACACACTTATACACACATTTTTTGGCAACTCACATCGAGGCCGAGCACATTTAAAATTCTGATGAAAAGACACTTTTACTTTATTCCTTCACTCGACGCTGCACTGAGAAAAAGTTTAAAATAGGTCATGATCCAAGCTGGAAAGAAAGTCTTTTCAAGTCAAAGTTCGATTTTGCGGCATATTTTGGAATGTAATTCAAGCTAATATCCAAAAAGGGGAAACTGAAATCAATAGAGTCATAGCTTCAAAATTGTTTGTTTTCCTATAAAAAGTTTGAATATGATAAGAAATTGGAATATTTTTTACAGTGCCAAGGTTCTTGGTTTTTCATTTCTTTCGATTATTGTGAGCCCGAGTGCGTGAGTGCGCTTAATTCGCTGTAGTGTGTGCGTAAATGTTTTGCTAGATTCACCGTACATCCACAGTCGCATTTACATTGACACTCTCTCCCAGTAGTCGCCCACATGTCGCTTAACTCAACTGTCGATTTATTACACTTAACCCATACACACCGTAGGCCGCACACCACACACCAAATACTATACCCCGAGCACAGCATATAGCATACAGCGCACATATCATGTAGCATCATCATCATCATCAGCGTCGTTCCATGATCATCGCGTCATCAGCCACCGGCGACTTATTAGATAGAAACGCTGATTAGTTGCCCAGATTCAGATTCACGGGATTGCGTGCTGTTCGCAGTTTAGTTCGCTTTAGCTGCAGTTCTATTCTGCCGCTCTATTCGGATTATTATCTTTTTTTGTTTGGTCTGGGGGACTGTTTATACACCGCCGGTGAAGATACCCAGATACATTCGTGTATCTGTATCTATGGGAGCACTCAAATGCGTTCAACTAGTTCGCCGGGCTTTGGGTGCCCGATGCGGTCATTGGTTCTTTTTTATTGGTCTGTGAACTGCATTCATGATTGAGATTTATGTTACATTTTATAGCATTGTTTTTGGACCCATATGCATTTCCTATACGAGACACTTTAAAAACGTGGGATTTGCATAAATAAACGGAATGAAGAATAAAATATTTTATATTAAATATTTATCATTATTATTGTCTTATACTTGACCATCCCTAGGCAAATCGGATATTTAATAACTTAATTTAATTAATGCATATTCAATGAACAAACAAATGAATTATATGCCCCAGGGTAATGCAAAATCAATTATAATTAAACAAAAATAGCTTATCTTGTTTTAAATCAAGAGCCGGAAAATAATAAATAATCAGAATACCACTTCGATAAATAAAGTTTTTTTTTTGAGCCAGGCAAGCCGTAAAACATCACTGGGTAACACAAAAACGCATTTAAACGCATTTAAACGCAATTAATCCAATTTGCCATTTGTGTGTTTGTTTGCCTTTAGGCGTGAGGAATTAAGTTTAATTGAATGCCGCTGCTGCGGACTTCCGCTTATTCGGGGCTCATCCATTATCCAACCGGAGCCATCAACTCCGCGCACAATGCATCCAATCGAGCGGATTGCAATTGTGCAATCTCTTCTGCACCGGGGGACAGTGACCGACAAAAGTGCGATTCCCTGGTGCCCGGCGCAGGAACTCTAGCCAACGATGTTTAAGTTAATTGAATCAGTGGCAGAAAAATGATTAAATCACAAAGGATACCGCCGGCCGTGGGAACTCCAGCTTAGCTTAGCTCTTTGTGTCAGAACAGTGCCCAGACTTTCACTCACACACGCAATACACCAAACACACACCGAAAGCAAATAAAAAAAAGGCAACAAAAACACAGAAAACAAAAACTCGCACACACAAAGAACACAGAGCAAAGGCGCAAAGCTTAAAGTATAAAACACTTGAGAATTGTTTTACACTTTTCCGTTTGTGTTTGGCTTTTCCTCTGCCTCCACTCCACCGTCGCTCCGGGAATTTGGTGGAAAAGTATTTCTCGCCCCGCCGTATAATTCGCTGAACAAAAAACATTTTCTCCTTGGAGTTCTTGAGCTGGCTTTCCCGATCATTTTCCCTGCAGACCGTGGGGAGTGCAATGCCTTTCCTTCCAACTTCTAACTTCCTCTGCATTTTCCGCAGAATCGACAAACACATAAAAGTCGTGTATTCGTGTTTCAAGCGGGAAACACGCGAAAATATGCAAATAAAATGTCATAAAACAATGCGAAGGACAAACAAACAGGCGAGCATAAAAAGCCAGCAATAAAATTGAAACAAAGGGGACGGTTTTATACCCTCGGCTAATATGAATATTGAATGAGAGAGCTGGGGAAATGGCAAAAGAAAAGTTTCTCATCTCAAGTTTTGCAAGGCGACGGTGGAACTGCTCAGAGATCTAATAGGAAAAAAGGCTAGCAATATATTTGTGTAAAACAGAAGTCTCTTGCAAAAGTAGAGTGACTTGAAGACTATTTAATTTAAGTCAAATTTTACAGCACAAACTGAAATAGATCTACTGATCATGTCTTCAAAGTCTCATATTCCCTGCGTGTTTATGTCCTATTCGGCACCGACTAGGCACTTGAGGAGCTTTGTAAATGGGTCATTTCTCGTCCTTTCGACCAGCATTAAAACGCAATTTTATTGCATAGCCCCGAGGGCTTTGGGCCAGCCATCATTGTCTTAAGGGGCCGGCGATGACAGACCCAGCAACCGAATTGAAACCAACCCAAGTGAACCGAGTCTCACGCAACACAAGCGGAAAACAGAAAAAAGGAGGCAAAAAAAAAAAGAACAGAAAACAGAAAAACAGACAGCAGACAAAAGGCACAAAGGGAGTGAAGGGAAAGCAGGGAATTGTTTAACATTAGTTTTATGCGATTCTTTTATTTGTCTGTGCTTTGGCAACTTTTATTAGTTTTCTTGCGGTCCTGGCTACTGTGTAGTACGACGGTTTCCCCTCTTGGCCATTGCCCGGCGATAATAACGCGATTTGTTGTCTGCTGCAGTCTCATTAGATTTTATTGGTTCCACCACAGAGAATCCGTTGCACTAGACCAGCAAGGACTAGAAACCAGGACTCTGATATTTTAGCTTTTTTATAAATGCAAACTTATGTGGAAAATAGGAGTATGATAAGGCAAAAAAAAAGTAATGTAATGTTTGACTGTAGCTAAATTACCTCAGTTAATAATATTTTATAGAGCTTTAAGCAAAATATACATTATCCCCTGAACCTAAATGCAAATTGACAGACAACGCATTTTGCACAAACACAAAGACATCCTCGTTTAAAGTATTTTCAAAGCCTGTCTGATCCCTGTGCAGGTTGAAATGCGCATCAGTGTATGGGAATATAAGCTTCCACATTCTCCGCCATTTTTACATGCAGATAATCACTTATAAGCACACACACACACATATGCTTTGAGCCCGTGACGTGTACTGGGAATAAACCGCTTGATGTGTGTCCCCCTGCGTGTGCAAGTGTGTGTGTGTGTTAGCCCTGCTGCTCTGGGCATTAAAAGTAACCCAGGGTAAAATAAAAGCAAGTGCCAAGCGTGGCGCATGTGCCACTCAAAGGCAAACAAATGCAAAGTTCTGCTGTGTCTTTGGGAATACGCGGCGTATACGCGATTTTAGTGTGATTGTATTCGCCCGGCTTTGCCTGTAAATCGCTCAGCGAGCAAGCCATTTGTTGTTGTTATCGTCGACGGTAGGAACTTTGGTTTGGCTTTATGCCATACCCCGATTTAAGATGAATCACGTTGGCGATTTTAAAAAGCACCTGTGCTACCTGCATTCCCTATCATAAGAATGCTCGCTTGGGGGTTTTGATAAAAAGTTAAATTGATTTTAGGATCCAAAAGTATGAGAAATTTAACTTTATTTGTAATACATTTAACTTAAACTATTCAATTGTTTACAAAATCAATTGATTTTCTATTGATTGATGGAAAAATGAGCTACTTAAATATTTAAAAGCGTCTGCTGGTTTTATTAAAACTTTAAAGTTGATTCGTACTGCCGGTTAGCAACAGGACTTAATGAAATTCAGGGAAACATAAAACCGTAATCAAAATTTAATCATAATTAATGAGTTGACTCAATTTGGGATTTAAGTTGTGAAGCCAATATATTAATTTGCATTTTTCTGATGAGCTGCACACACACACACACATATGTAATATAGAGTATAATTTTTTAATCAACCTTAATTGCATGAGCCAGATTAATTGACAAGCGGCGAGTCAACATAAATATTAAATAACTTTGTAATTATTGTAACAAATTAAAAATTATTGATGCGTATGCCA